AAAAAGGCCTATTGTATTCCTTTTAGGCCTCTATAGATTCATAAATGGACCCACAGCCAATTTGTCCACAAGAATAAACCCACTTGAAGAGTTTAAGTCTCCATTGCTGGCACTGCATATACACTGCAGACTTTAACCCTGAGGTCACTGGCTAATCCCCAGAGTTTTAGCACCCTGGTGACTGGTCAGTGTGTAAAGGCTTGAAAGTGGTCACTTGAAGGCACTGTACTAGAGAAGGAGGATTTCTGGCTGATGGGAGGTAGAGCTGGGTTAAGACTTGCCTGCCCTTGAAAACTCTCCCTCTCCCAGCCTGCCCCCCGATTCTAGCTGGTCGTCTCTCCCTGCCTGCTGCTAGTTTCTAACTCTAACATATCAGGCTGAGAACCTGGTATGGAGCATAGAACAGCTCCTGCAGCACAAGGTTCAGTAAGGGGCTGCTTCAGAGGCACAAGTAAGGTGGAGAGAGTCAGGAAGTCTAGTTCCCCAAGACAAATATATCTGTTCTAACTATTGTAAGGTTTGAAGCCCAACCCTTTCCCTCTGGAAGTTTTTCTTGTCAATTGGAAAATATCTGTCCCACCGCACCACTGTGTCCCTGTCAGAGCTCTGAATAGCCAGTCACTCATTCCCCTAGTTTGATTTATACCCATCAGCCTGTTTCACAGGAATTAAACTTCCAGATAAAATGTACCAGATACAATCCTTAAAAATGCTCCTTTCAGGAAGATGGTTTTGAAGTGATAAATACTAGACTTACATGAGGGAAAATGCATAGATTCCAAAGCAAGCGGGGACCATTGTGATATCTATTTGACCTCCTGTATAGTACAGGTCATAGAACACCCCCAAAATAATTCCTAAGGCATAACTTAAAGGAAAAGAATGTGCTAACTCAGCAGAACTTCCAAGGCAATGCTGACCTAGTGAGACTAGTAATCCAATTCTTGTTTCCTTCATGCAGAATGCTGTTACTAAGACACCTGTAATAACAATTGGTGCTTGGATACTGGCCAAACCAGGGACAATGAAAATGAGTTTTTGCGTATCTTGCAGTAAGAGCATGATTCCAATACAGTTCGATAGGTATCTGTCACTACAGAGTCAATAGTGGTGTTTCTGAATGATGCTAGCTGTTTCTAAAAGGTGTCTTAAAATATTAATTCCCCCCTCCCTCTCCCCGTGGCATTGGAGAAGGGGGAGAGTGTTTAGAAATTTGGAGAACACTATCCATCAAACTGATTTTTAAATTGTAGGTTAGATTGAGAGTCTGGACTATGCAACAGTATTTCTTGAGTTCATGGCTCCATTGCAGTCAAGCGGTCCCTGAAGCTCAGTAAAGTCAGGACTTAAACAGAGCCATGTATCTCTATCTAAGAATATAGTTGCAAGTTCGTCACAGATGTCAAACTGCACTCATCCCTATTCAGGAAACAAATGGATTAAAGAGAGCTTCTGAACACAAATGAGGTAGTTATGTACCAGCATTATGCCCCTCGGAATGCAAAATACATTCAACCAAGGGATGCCAAAGGATAAAAAACAACATGCTGCAGTCTACACAGAGCTAAACACTCCCATCTAGTGGAAATCAGATGCCACGGCATAACTCAACACTATTGCAGCTTTCTTTGTGATATGCTGCATCAGGGAAATCCAGTTCCATAGAAACAAAGTTAAATTGGACAATGAAATTTGAAAAGACACTTTTTGTAGTCTTAAATTAACAAGTAAGGTTCTTTAATAGCTAGCTAGATGTTGTATGATACAAGCATGATAAAATGCTTCTAGATTATTATCTGAAGTTTCATAGTTTGTCTCAATGAGAAGTGCAATATGGTCTTGATTTATCTAACCAACTCATTTCATTAATTTTCATTGATATTGCTTTCACTGCCACTTGTGGCTTAACCAATGCAGACACACACTGAAGCAAGGATGCTAACCACACTTCTATCCCTATGAAACTATACAAAGCAGTTTTTAATTCTTACGAGTTTTATTTTGGCTCCAATGTTCTCTACCACAGATCTGGTTCTGTTTCTTAAGAGGTACTATTAGGAAAACAGAACATTTAACTTTTTTGCCTATTCTTATATGCTATCAATCCTGTCTCAACTTAGTTTTCAGTGTCATTTTTAAAAAGCAACAGAGGGTCCTGTGGCACCTTTAAGACTAACAGAAGTATACTTCAGTTAGTCTTAAAGGTGCCACAGGACCCTCTGTTGCTTTTTACAGATTCAGACTAACACGGCTACCCCTCTGATACTTGAGTCTCATTTTTTTACTTAGTCCTGGAAGTGTCGATGTGGAGCTATTTTAGCCACAATCCCATTGAATATGGTTTGAAATACATAATTTTGTATGGATTAGCTCTACGACCCAGAGATCAGGGGCAAAACCAAATCATCAAGGTGAGGTGGTCCATGGTAGGTTCAGTCTCAAGCCCTGCTTACACCACCAATTCGTAAAAATTTTGTCATCTATGACCACTCCTGCCTTTCGCTGTTCCATAGTCTTGATTTTCCTTCAAATCTCCCCTAGATTATAAAATTCTGAGGCATGGAATGTGATAATCTGTTTTACGCAGCACCCAGCACACTGCCAGGGCTTAATGCTAATAGCACAGACTTTCACTCCATCAAGGCCTACATCATCATATGCTTTCCAGAAAATATAGTTCCAGATCTATAAAAACACTCATTGTACCCCAACCCACCAACCCCCATATTGTGATGCAGGACATTTAGGACTACAAACCATTTGAAGTCAGAAAGCAGTAACTTTTAAGATTTGAACAGCTCTCAGTATTAAGCTGAGTGCATCTTCCTACCTAGTGGCTTTGTATAGCAACCATCACTTTAGCAGTTAAGCGTTTTAGTTACAAGATTCATAGACAAACTCTGTATGATTTACCATCATCCAGTGAGGTAGGATTAGGATAAATATGGTGGGTGGCCTTTGCCTTCTCATCAGTGACGGTTCCCTATGGAAAAAAGTGAAACACTGCTTGAGAATCCATAGCTATACAGAAATAACTTCCTCCGACAAACAGAAAAAAAACTTTCCATTTCAGAAACATTAATGTGATTTTAGTTATAATATAGTAAGATCCAGAACCTAAGTGCCCAACCCAATTACTTCCAATATTCTAAAGGTATCAGAAAAGTAGGTTACTGTTCATCTTTTGGGGGTTACCTCTTTCCCCTAACTATGCTTTTCTATATTTTAAGAAGGATTGCTTCTGGCACACCATCCTGTCTCCATCTGGTATCACCTTGGCCCTTCTCACCGCAATCTTTTCTTTCCTCTCACCGCTTTTCTCTTTCTTTCCTCATTCTTCACTTTCCCAAATCTCAGTCTATGCAAGTCTATTGTGAACGTTCCTATGAGAAGATACCCATAATTGTGTTTGAATATAAACACACTTTGATCCAAACTGTAATTTTAAAGTGACAGTCAACTTGATTTTTTTTTAGACTAAAAAAATTCCAATTTCTAATAGATCCCCCTTTAAATAGCATGTCCTGAACTTTAAACAAACCTAAAAAAGAGTTCCTGAAAAAAAAAAAAAAGAAAAAGGGCTGTTCTGCTCCCCCTTCAATGTTTAAAAGGATCTGTTTAACAAGGGAAAAGACAACTATGAAGGAGAAAACAATGACTCTGGCAATATTCAAAGCTCTGTCAAATGCTCATAGTAAATTATAAAAGATATGCTATTTTCACTGACTTCTTTGTCAGAGTAATTTTAGGTGTTACTTGTAACAGTAAAAGATAAACATGTCTGTCTGAAATTGTGTATTTTCAAGTTGATAGTGTCCATTTAAATATTATAATATTCAACTGTTTATTGCTTTTAAAAAATAGATATTTGTTAGCTGAGGATGCCATATTGCTTGACTTGTATCTATAATACAAAATTGCCTTTCCTCTGCACTAAAAACATCAAGGTTATCCAACATACTACACAGTCTCATAGTCACTACACAGCAGACAGAATCAGACCCAAGGGACAATCGGACTCTACAGATATATTTCTTCAAAACCTATGGAATTTTTCTTAGGTGGAGGGAGATGTATTTACAGAAATGGAAATGTTGTATATCATTTTTCACACAAACTGTATTCCAAAACATATTTTACAGAATTAGATACTAGGACAGTAGAGAGCATATGGTTAAGTTACAAGAAACAGAATGATGAATAAATCAAAGCATTCAGCAGACAAAGCTACCATCTGCAAAGGGAAAAAAGTTAGGAGACCTATGCATGGGAGAAGAGACGCATTTAAGATGAGAGCAGTATGAGAGAGAGACCACCAGAAGGCTGTTCAGATGGCAAAGTAAATCCCATTCTCCTAAAATTTACTACTTTACACTTACATAGCCAGCCCATTTCACATCTCAAACTCGTTTTTATACATGAAGGAGTTAATCATCATCCTCCCAGTGAAGAAGGTAAGTATTATTGCCATTTTAAAGACAGGGAAACTGAGATAGATGCTTAAGTGACTTGCCTAAAAATACACAGAAGTCTATAATATAGCCAGGAATAGAACCTAGACCATCCTCTACCCAGGTGTGCTTTGGCCAGAAAAACACTCCTTTATCTATATCAGGGATGAGCAACTTTAAGAAGAATAGGGCCACAAAATCCATTAAAACCCTTTGGTGGGCCCAACATTCTTTTAAAGAGGTTATCTAGTGCATAACTCAGAAACGTTTGCCACAATATAACATGTTAACATACAGTTAACCCTGTATTAACACAGTAAAACCAAAGTGTTATTCAAAACTCGGGGGAGGGATAGAGCTCAGCGGTTTGAGCATTGGCCTGCTAAACTCAGGGTTGTGAGTTCAATCCTTGAGGGGGCCACTTGGGGATCTGGGGCAAAATCAGTACTTGGTCCTGCTAGTGAAGGCAGGGGGCTGGACTCAATGACCTTTCAAGGTCTCTTCCAGTTCTAGGAGATGGGATATCTCCATTAATATCTATATCTAAAATAAAAGTCCCTTTTAGCACAACCTTGAATTTTTTTATTTTAAAAAGAAGATTCAACCTAAACCTTTCACTAACTTTTTTTCAGTGTCCAGAAGGGGAGGGAGATTAATAAATTAAAACAAAAAATAAAAATATCTTCATGTTTTTCTCTGCTGTTTATCATTGTTACAGTACCTTGCCTGTCAGAGTGAAACTCGCGCTTGGGCCTGCCTGTGCACTAAGAAGGGCAGATCTATATCATAAGTGGGAAGAGTTTCATCAGTCAGTTGGTTCCTTCTTTAGACTTCAAATGATTCAATGTAGAAAAGTTACTTTCAGAAGCATAAGTAGCTCCAAACACAGAACACAATTTCAGCGACCACTCTTTCAGATTTGGGAAATGGGATTCAGGAAGCAGTTTCCAAAATTGAATGCCCCTTTCGTCCTTCTTTCCAAAAAAAGGAGAAAGGATCAGCCTGCAGTCTGCTCAGTTCTAGTTGGTGTTCATTGACAATAGATGCAATGAATCATTAAAACGGATGAGGTGAGGTGAAAAACCTTTCAAAATCCTTAAAACATTGGTGGAAATTAAGCTGCAGCATTACAATGCCAGTGGTGCACCCGCTAAACACTGACTTGGCACGTTTGCAGTTTCAATGCAAATGCAGCACATATTGTAAAGTGGCCAAAATCCAAACCCAACAGGAGAGTCTTAAAAAATTCAAGCTTACTCAGAAGCCACCCAGGTGAGCAATGAAATCCAACATATCTGGTCCCAGCCTTGCAATTTCGGATTCAAATGTCAGGTTCTATCAGCCAAAAATGCCATATTACAGAAAAACAGAATCTTCCATTTTTTCCTGAAACTCGCTAGTATCAGAACGTGCAGTGTTTTTCAAAAAGGTGACAATATCCCCTCAAAGTGCAAATAATCTGTCAAGAGAGACAAAATGGGTGAGGCAATATTTTTTTATTGGACCAACCTCCGTGTAAGCTCAAAAGCTTGTCTCTGTCACCAACAAAAGATATTACCTCACCCACCTTGTCTCTCTAATATCCTGGGACCCACACAGCTACAACACTGCATACAATAATATCTCAAGACATTTATTGCTTCTTGGCTCTCTGTGAGCTAAGATCAAGTGTAGTATTAGGGGGCAGGGATAGCTCAGTGGTTTGAGCATTGGCCTACTAAACCCAGGGTTGTGAGTTCAATCCTTGAGGGGGCCATTTAGGGATCTGGGGCAAAAATCTGTCTGGGGATTGGTCCTGCTTTGAGCAGGGGGTTGGACTAGATGATCTCCTGAGGTCCCTTCCAACCCTGATAGTCTATGATCATGATTCATCCATCATACTTTACATACACTTCACTGAGAAAAGCCACACATTTGCTATTGTTGCCACCTCAGATTATGTTTGTAACTTTCATGACCACATTCATGACATGATCGAAGTTCTGTGATTTTCCACACAGCGACTTTTGATGAATAATGCAGTGCAGTGTTGGGCAATTCATTTCACTGTGCTTCAAAATATGTGCAAATCCGACCTGTGATGTAAACATAGTAGGTGGTCTGTCCGTGACAGCAGCAGGCAACTTTCTGAAAATCTGCAACAGCCTCCTGAACTGCACCAAAAATATCTGGGCCCTTTCTCGTTCTGTGTAATGAGGCTAACTTCATAAGCTCTTCATGCACGTTAAAACTAGTGTAAATCGTCTGGACATATGTCAGTAGCTGACCTGCATCTGACACAGCTGTACTCTAGTGTCAAAAGAAACGAAGAACAACTTTTCTTCCACATGTTCATGCATATCTGAAACTCTTTGCAAAACTATACATTGAGAAAGATGTATTGTTTTTAATTTTTTTTTTAAACCATTTTCTCATCACGTGAAAATGCCTTTTCCATTTGCATTTCACATCGACCATTAGCAGTATATTTGTCATACTCGGCATTGTGATTGGTGCTGTAGAAATGGTTCAAGTTATATTCTTTTGTCACTGCCATGACTTGCAAACAAATGAGGCACTGAGGCTTATGTCCATTTTCAGTAAAAAGATATTCACGCTTCCACTGTTCATGAAAGACTTTTCTTTATAATTTTATCACTTGTTTAAAAAAAATTAAGACAAAAGTATCAGCCACAGGTTTGTCAACGCACCATCTCCCACCACACTTGTGGTGCAGTGGATACAGACCTGATGTTTCAGGGTATTGAATTTCCTTGTATTCAGCATACATGCAACCCAAGGAAGCCCACAACCAATCCCCCTAGTGATCAGTTTTCCACACTGAAACAAGCATTTTATACTCTCAGTATGTTTATCACAGCAAAAAAGTTGAGCAATGAAAATAAATGTCACAGCAGAATAAGTCATCGGCTAACTGTCGGCGGGCCAAACAAAATGATCCGGAAAGACCAATGCAGTCCCAGGCCACCGGTTGCCCATTGCTCCTCTATACTATTTAATTTTAGGAAGCCCAATTCTAAAGTAATATCTCTACAGTTGTCCTTTATAAACAGCTGCAAAAACTTAACCTACAAAAATGCAAGGCTGCTACAAATGTCTGTTACCTGGTGACGTTTGACAATGTCTTTTAGTTTATTAGCCAACTTCAATTCGATATCTGGAATGAGGTAGATTGTTGGTCTGCTCAGACAATTATTCTAGAGGAGAAAAGACAAAACTTTAAATCAGAAACTAGTGGATCAAAGGCATGAACCCATCAGGGACTAATTACTGCATTAAACATTACTGCTTGACAAACACTAATGCAAAGGTTCTATGCAGAGCCTAATTAGGCATTTTAATGCCCATGGCAAGCAAGCATATTTGCACCCCCTAGAGGTGATGTGTGGGTGGATGGGGACATGGGGTCATGTGCCCCCCCTCCCAATTTCTGCCTTCCATTTAGCAGAGAGGTTTTCAAACTGTGGGGGCATGCCCTATGGTTTGAGAACTGTTGCCTCCTGCCAGGAGCTAACGGATCAAAAGCTGGTGGGAGCCGGGGCACTGGCTGGCTGCCCGGCAGCCCTCTCTGCCCTTTTCCCTGAGCTGGGCCACCTCTGCACAGATGGGCACTCCCCAGGCAGGGTGGGCAGCACAGCTCTGAGTTGTGCCCCAACACGCTTTTGCCTCTCCCCTAAAGGGGCCCGGCACCACCCCTGGCGCTGGTCCCTGCCAATGGGGCCCAGCTGCCCTGAGATGCTCCAGTAGTGTCAGGGCAGCAGTATGCAAGTGCCTTGGGGAACATCTCATGGCAGCTGGGCTCCGCGGGAGGGGATTGCTTCAGAGGATTTCACCGGTCAGTGCTGGGCTCCATTGAGGGACAGGAAGGAGTGCGGTGGACGGAGCTCTGCCTGGGGAGCATCCAGCCGTGCAGAGGCAGCCTGGCTCGGGGACAGGGCAGGGAGGGCTGTGACACCCCCCCAGGCTAACCCGTTTTTTCGCACCCTGGGTGGCTGCCCCGCTCACCCGCCTGAGTTCTGTGCACCAGCATGTTCTCGGTCCATTGAAGAAAACTGAAAGATTCTCAACTTCACTGTGCTTTGGATCAAGTCCTGAGCATGCTACTGTAAATGGAAAACTAAACGCCACGTTCGATACATCCAGACTAGGATCTCACCCTGCAGCACTAGTGTCTACAGATTTCTACATTGCCTAGAACAGTGGTTTTAGCCACACTAAATGTTTATTTTAAAATAAAGTGAATATCCAGCTATCTTTAATCAAATCACAGCAAAACAATTTATTCCAAAATGTCAAAGAGTGTCACTTTTGGGGTTCTTTCCCTGCTGTTACTGATTTTGCTAAATACTTGAAAAGTACATCTTGAACGTAGTACAAGCAAGAGTATTGGCCTAGACCCTACAGATTATCATAGGAAACAATCACTGACACAGTAATAAACTTAATTTTAAATTGACCTGCTCCGGTGGGGAAGTGAGTAGATCACTGTAATGGCACAAGGACAAGGGATGAGTAATGGGATACAGAGCTTTTCCACCTCTAGGTCAATGATTCAAATTTGACTCTGGACAGGAATGAGCTGCTACCATATGGTAGCTATTCTATGGCTCAGACAAAATGAGTTGGAGTTTCAGTCCATTTACTAGTGGAGAGGTATTCTCATCAGAAACAGAACGGGAACTTTCACCTTGCTGGCAGTCTCAGACGAGCCAAGGGTGGACTTTGATGAACAAAATTAATTATCTGCACACTCAAGGTGATCTCTCCAAGTCAGGATTGAGGCACATTGGTGGGATGTTGAAGTTTCTATTGCTGCTGCTCGTAATGTACTTCTACACCTGCCCTGATAACCCAGCAGTAATTTCAAGAGCAGTAAATTCACTTTTTGCCTTAATGTAAGTGGCAGGCTTTTGCAAGACTAGTTCTGTTTCACAAATGTTTATAACTTCTTCATTTCCTAAAATCTAAAGCACAATGTTTTAATCTGTTAAAGATACTGGATTGTAGATGCTCAATTTTATTTTAAAGTTAAAAAATAGTTGTCTAACAACTTTAAAGCTCAAAATTATTTTCCCACCCTATCAGGTTTCTCTGTACTAAGTATTCCCACACTAGACCTCCACACTAACTAATTGCAGAGATTCTCAATGAGAAGAAAGGAAGATCAGACTGAAAAAGAGAAAAGTTACATTCAGACAAATTCAAGAAAGGTACAAAGTTTGGAATTCTTATGCAGGTCACACCTCTAACGGACCTAAAAGCTAGAAGGTCATTTCCCCAAAGAAAGTGGAAAGTACATTGAGACACAAAACAGAAAATGTTTACGGTTATAAAATTTCTTGCCTGCACTAGTGTTTTTTCAATGTTCATGAACATCTCCACATTTCGATCCATTCGCGATGGATTCTGCAGATCAAACCTCCGCCTGTAAATGAGGAAAATGATTGAAAGATATTAAAGACTTCAACTTACCTATTTTCAACAGCAAAGAATCTTTAGACTTTTTTATATTTGGTTTTGACCAAGAAGTGATATTTAAAACTATGCACATTCTAGCAAATTATATTGGTATACTTAATATTAACAGAGAACGGATTCTTACAGTATCTGCATGCATGAACATAAATTATTTACAGAGTTTTAGAGCACAATAAAAATGGTTCAACCATGTTACTCTTGCTCCACTTAGTAAAAAAGAAACAGTCAATCCCAATCAACAAAATGCAGCTGATTTGTAAACTCTTAGTAGCACAATGGAATCCAAGGCTGAAGTTCTATTATCCAACATGACTAGCAACAAAACCTTGGAGCAAGACAGGTAGCCAATTAACTACATTTCTATACTCTCTAGAGTGATCAGACAACAGCAATTAATTAAAAGCAGCTGAGAATGTCATTTGCTTTTATTGAGACAGAGCTCACAATGGCATCAGCAGCTGACAAGAGCCAACAGCACTGGGAACACAGGCAAATCAATGTTCATGTCTTTAAACACTGCTTTCTATTTATATTTCTGTTGCATTCACTAGTCTATTGGTTATGTTGAGCAATCAGTTGTAGGCCTACATTCTAACCTCAGAAGCAAGCAGCACATCTTATTAAATCCACTACTGTGCTTTTTTGAACTAGGCACATCTGAAAAAAACACTATTGCATGCATGGAATACATATTGTAGACGTAACTGAAACAATGTATTACATCCATCCTCACACTGGAATCTGATTCTTGGCCTATTGTTAAGTGGGAAATCTTTTACAATAACCCAAGTTATTAATCCAATGATGCAGAGACACAGTAATGTGACTTCTTTCTGAAGTCATGGGATGGATTCGTTCAAATCTAAAATGATTTACTTTCCCACCTCAACACTAAGAATTTGGGTGACAGCTGTAAAGAATTTTAAAGGTTAGGATATATATTTAGATACAACAAGAGTCTGCAATTTGACAGGCTCCAGGAGTTTCTGATCTCCAACAATTCAGCCTGCATTATTAATTTGTTAAACGCTAGCAGTGTGGTTATCTGCAGTAAGTGGTTGTGAGCTTCACTTTGGCAACCAGAAGGATTAGAAACAAAGCTGCTGATAAAGAATTCAGTATCAGGTTCTTAGTTGGGGTGCATGACTTTCTGTCCAAGCATAGTACTACACACAATAAAAGGGATTAAGTGGTGGTTAGTGTACAAAGTGTAGTAAGCGCCACTATACTTAAAATACACAAAGCACCACTTATTTTCAGTAAAACACCTAAGAGATTGTTACAGCTTGTAAATATGTAATGACGTTAAATTCAGTTTTACACATCTTGATGTGCAAGTTTGAATTTTACAACTTCAAAAGCTCGCATTAACCTAAATATTTATAACCTCACAATCTCATGTAATTTTATGTTAATTTACTAATCTAAGCAAGGGCATTACAGCTACCACTTTACCTTTACCTACCTGAGGCCCTTAAGTATTGCAGCATATATGGTCCTCCATATGGGGGGGATCTTTATAATACACCAGAGAGGTGCACATCACTAGACATTCACATTTGTGCAAGGTTGTTTCTTTCCCTAGTGGTTTCGATTTTCAGCCAGTGATATGGGATTTTTTCCACCGAGGACTGAGTTTGTTGTAATGCCCAACATAACAGAAAGACGTTAAGGGCAATCACTTATTTTTGTATGCTTGTCTTTCAACCATAAAGTTCTCTATATTTAAATGTCAATATTACACGGCAACATAAATGTCATCTCAAAGTCTTACAGTGACAGTCAGAACAAGAAATCTTAAAAAGTTGTGTATGGAACACTTCTGGACTGGTAGAGGGTGGGCTTGATGATCTATAACTTCTTATTCTAACTGCCTTGATTAACAAATCTTGCCCCAATATAAGCATACTGACATCATTTCACAACCTTTTGGTGAAAATGTGATCTTCAGATAGTTCTCTGAGATTAATGGGACAAAGTTAAGCATTAGGAAAGTGGACACAAAGAAAATTAAAATACCGATCATGTTCACAAGCAAGTTTTCAAACTCAGACTCTATTATTTCAACCATTTTCAAAACACAATGTGTTAAGGCTTAAACATCTCTATAAATCAGGTCACTTATTTAGGTGCTTAGCTTTAACCAACCATGTTTGAAAATTTTGATCTAAGTCAACACGAAGGATTCATTTCACTTTGTTCAGACATTCACATTTTTACCATAATTTTATTTAACCTTCCACCTAAAAGCACTCGTTATTTCTTAACATATAAACAGCAGCACATACCTTATTGGGCAATTAAAAAAAAATCACTTAAAAGATCACTAGGCGGTCCACCTGTCTTCTCGTTTAACTAATTATTTCTAGAAACTAAGTCTAGAGCAACAAGTTTTAGAGAACATCTGTTTGAATTACAATAAGGTACGTCCAGCTGCACTGGATAAGTGCATTTTTCAGACATACCTATTATGACCAGGAAAGGTACTTCTCCTATAAGACAGATCATTCACAAACAGGTTAACCAAGAGCGACAATGCATACCATTGAAAAACAAAGAATCATGCATCAGGCACATCATATTATTTGGTCAAGTCAGTGAAGGGAACATTCCAGGTTCTAAATCTGATCCTCAATGTTAAATTCTCAAGTATCATTTCCTTCCCCACGCCACATGCATACACACACAAGACACTACCAACTAGTTTTGAGGGATCAGCAAGAGAGGGAGGAGAGAGGATGTGGCCAAATATCAGAGTTTTGCTCTCATTCAGATTTCTGTAACTGGGAAATAAGTTTGTCTGAAAAGAAAAGAATATTTACTGTGTGGGAGCTAGCTGAGGTGCTTTTCCATTGAGTCTCAGAGGAAACACAAAGGCCCCGAAAGACATACTATTTTCAGAATATCTCAGGCAGCAGTTGTCTGTGGCTGGGTATTAGCATTGTAGGAAAGGGAGAAGGGACTGCCAATAGTTAACTTATGACAGCTTCTTATTTTTTCATGTCCTGCAATGCAGTTAGGGGGCACAGCACCATCTACCCTACAAAAATAATACTAAAACATGGCTTATTCTTGCCTTTTGATTTGCTCTTCGGGGGGTAATCTGAACCCAGGTACACTCACAGGTCTTCGTAGCATTTGAAGAAGAACTACATAAATGAAGGGGAAACTTCTGCCTTATTTTTAACTGAGTTATTGCTCTTTTATATTGACTATTTTTAGTTCCCAATTGGAGATTTTGCAATTTTCTCAATGATAATAATTTACTTATTATGTAACTTCCCCTCTTGGGAAAAGACTTCTGAATTATAATGTACACATGATAAACACCACTGGACTCCAAATGGACAGTTTTGAACACATCAATATTTATATAGGCAGTGGTTTTATGAAATTTGCATTCTCTATTTATGAACAATTACAAAGCATTTTCTATTTATTAGTATCTATGTGGTACTTTGTATTTGTAGACATTAATTAATCCTAACAATATCCTAGGACACAAGAATAATCCACATTTTACAGATGGGGAAACTGAGGCACAGATATTAAGCAATTTGGCCATTACACAGCAAATAAATGGCAAAAATGGGATTACAAACTCAGGAGATCCTGACTCCCACCCTGAAGCTACATCCATCAGTTCACAATACTTCTCGTCTTTAGATAACTTTAAATAGAGCATCAGCTAGAAAAATTTATTCCTCTTCTCAACTCCCTTTCCCACTCAACTCTTCAAGGAAGTGTATTAAATTGCAAGTAGTTTGAATAGGCATTTCATTTGTTTAGTTTCATGCAGAAGGTGTATAAATTCAAGTAAAAACTTACCAGCCCTGTTCATTCTTATACTTGTAAGCAGCACCAAGAATATGACATAATGTACCTCCAGCTTTGAAATCCATGAAGCACTTGGCCTAGAATCAGTAGACAGAAGTGTGAACACTGACCAAAAGTGACATCTTCAATGCCATGATAGCAAAGATACGCTTTGTATCATTAAATGTACACAACTCTGTACAGAACACAAATCCAATGAACTCACAAATGTACCATTCCATTTCCATCTGGGGCTTACTTTATAAAGCTTTACTCTTCACTCACTTAAAAACATTCCAAGTAGTAAAACAAATACACATTCAAAATTAAGCAGTTTAACTGTAAACACACAGAGAGATCAGATGCATCCTAAATTTAATCTTAATCTAGTCCACTCCTTTATATTTCTATTTCCCACAGATCGGGGGCTCAAAGGCCAACTCTGATATGTATTTTCATAGTTATGTGAGAATCTATGTTCTACAGAATCACAGAAATGTAGGGCTAGAAGGGACCTTGAGAAGTCATCAACTCCAGCCTGCTGTGCTGTGGCAGGACCAAGTAAACCTAGACCAGGGGTAGGCAACCTATGGCTCGCGTGCCGAAGACGGCATGCGAGCTGATTTTCAGTGGCACTCACACTGCCCGGGTCCTGGCCACTGGTCCGGGGGACTCTGTATTTTAATTTAATTTTAAATGAAGCTTCTTAAACATTTTAAAAACCTTATTTACTTTACATACAATAGTTTAGTTCTCTATTATAGACTTATAGAAAGAGACTTTCTAAAAATGTTAAAAAGTATTACTGGCACGTGAAACCTTAAATTAGAGTGAATAAATGGAGACTCGGCACACCACTTCTGAAAGGTTGCCGACCGCTGACCTAGACCATCCCTGACACGTGTTTGCCAAACTTAAAAACAAAACAAAACAAACATAGCTCAGTGGTTTGAACATTGGCCTGCTAAACCCAGGGTTATGAGTTCAATCCTTGAGGGGGGCCACTTAGGAATCTGGGGCAAAATCAGTACTTGGTCCTGCTAGTGAAGGCAGGGGGCTGGACTCAATGACCTTTCAGGGTCCCTTCCAGCTCAATGAGATAAATAAATAAATGGAGATATACCTATTTTATTTAACCCTCCGATGGGAATTCCACAGCCTCACTTGGAAGCCGGTAGCGCTCGGGCAGCTCGGCTCTTAAACAGAGCCGAAGAGTCAGGGGAGGAGCAGAGCCTCCGGCCGCTCTGCTCCTCCCCGACTCTTCGGCTCGGTTTAAGAGCCGAGCGCTACAGGCTTTGGGTAGCCCCCATGCCTCCGGACCCTGCACTGCCGGAGCCCGGGAGGGGAAGTGCCTGGCCAGGGGCGCAGGGTCCTGAGGCATAGGGGCTGCCCGAAGCCCAAGCGCTACCGGCTTCACAGTTTGCCAGGCAGCCTCCAGACCCTGCGCCCCTGGCTGGGCGCTTCCCCTCCCGGGCTCCAGCTGCGCTGGGGAAGCGCCGGCTGGGGGCGCAGGGTCTGGGGGCTGCCCAGCAAACCGTGAAGCCGGTAGCGCTCGGGCAGCCCTTTTCGCGTGGCTGGGAGTGGGAGGGAGAAGGGGGTGGAGTTAGGGCGGGGTTGGGGCGGGGCTGAGGTTGGGAAATGGGCGGGGCCAGGGCCCTGTGGAGGGTCCTCTTTTTTTATTTGTTAAATATGGTAACCCTAGTGTTATCTGCAAATTTTATAAGCATATGTTCCACTTCATTACCCAAGCTATTAATGAAAATATAGACTAGTACTGGACCCAGGGCTGACCCCTGTGGCACCCCACTAGATACGCCCTCACAGTTTGACAGCAAACTATAAAGACTCTGAGTACGGTCTTTCAACCAGTTCTGCACCCACCTTATAGTAATTTCATCTAGACCACATTTCCCAAGTTTGCTTACGAGAATGTCATGTAGGACTATCAAAAGTCTTACTAAAAGATATAACACATCTACTGCTTCCCCCTATCCAGTATGGCTATTAAGGCCAGTAACCCTCACATTTCACTCCCCATCAGTACTCAGCATGGGCCGGAGACTCGAATGATCAAACCAGCGGAACAAATTTAGTGATGAATCCTGGTCACATGCCACCTGAGGCACAATGCGCATATGCTAAGAATAAAACCATATCGAAGAAGGAAATTAGGTCAGTCTGACATGATTTGTTCTTGACAAATTCATGCTGGTAAATCCTTATAGCCCTATTATCCTCCAGGTGCTTACAGACTGATTGTTTAATAATTTGTTCTAGTATCTTTCCAAGTATTTAAGTTAGGCTGACTGGTCTATAATTCCCCAGGTCCTCTTTGTTCCCCTTTTAAAAGATTGGCAGACATAGTACCTTTCTCCTTTCTTCTAGGACCTTCTCAGAGATAACTGCTAAAGGTTCCAAGATCGCTTAAGCCAATTCCTCAAGTACCCCAGGATGAATTTCATCAGGCCCTGCTGACTTGAATACACCTAACTTATCTAAATATTCTTTAACCTTTCTTTCCCTATTTTGGCTTGTATTTCTTCCCCCTTGTTGTTAACACTGTGGTTTTGAGTATCTGTCACCATTAACCTTTTTGGGCAACTTGAAACAAAATAGCCATTAAACACCTCAACATTCTTGATGTCATCAGTTAGTTATTAGATCTTCTTCCCTGCAAAGCAGAGGTCCTATACTTTCCTTTGTCTCTCTCTTGCACCTAATATATTTAAAGAACCACTTCTTATTGCCTTTTATGTCCCTTACAAGGTGGAACTCATTCTGTGCCTTAGCCTTTCTGATTTTGTTCCTACATTAGTCCTGGGGGGATTCTGCACCAAAAAATTTAAAATTCTGCAAATTTTATTTGTCAAAATAATGCAATACAATCACACCAATTTCAATTGTTTTGGTAAGTTATTTAAACTACAATACAGAAAAAAGTCACAATAACTATTCAGCATTTCCTAAACACATGAAAGTTAAATTACAAATACTTGGTAACTAATACCCTGCATTCCACTTATAATCCTGGATTTTCATTTAAATTACATTATAGAACACCAAACAGGGGGGAGGGGGAGGAAGTAGAATGTCATTTTAAATTACTCAGACTTTCACACATGCAAGTCATACAGTTTTGCTAATCATTGTCCTGGACCTAGCTGGGTACTTTGGGAAGTGCTTGGTTCTGATTGTCCTAACATTTTATTGAGTGTTTGGTAAATGTTTTATTTGCCCTCAAAAGTCTTTTTTTTTTTTAAACGGGCAAGTAAAAATCTAACCCCATTGTGCCTTTTTCTGGGGTGGGCTATGACGTGGCATCAGAGGTCTGGTACACCCCATCACAGATTCCTTTTTGATTTTCAGGTCATTAAAGAGCTCCTCATGGAGCCATAGTAACCCCTTTCCATTCTTCATCTCAGGATAGTTTGCAGTTGTGTGTATAATACTGTCTGCTTGAGAAACTACCAGATCTCCTGAACTCCTTTTTCCTTTAGATTTGCTTCCCAACGGACCTTACCTACCAGTTCTCTGAGTTTGTTTTTTTGAAGTCCATTGTCCTTATTCTGTTGCTCTCACTTCTTTCTTTCCTTAGGATCATGAAATCTATAATTTCATGACCACTTTCTCCCAAATTGCCTTCCATCTTCAGATTCGCTATCAATTCCTCCATGTCTGTCAGAACCAAGTCTAAAATAGCTGTACTCCTGATTACTTCCTCCACTTTTTGTAACAAAACATTGTCCTCAATACATTCCAAGAACTTATTGGAAATGTTAGGTTTTGCTGTATCACTTTTTCAACAGCTGCCTGGGTGGCTGAACTCTTCCATTGCTACCAGGTCTTGGGGTTTGGATACCTGTTATTTGTTCTAGAAATGCCTCACCCACCACCTCTTCCTGATTTGATGGTGCATAGTAGACCTCTACCATGACATCACCCCTATTTTTTTAACCCTTTTATCTTTACCCAGAGACTCTCAACTGGTCTGCCTCCCACTTCCTTCTGGATCTCAGAACAAGTGCATATATTCTTGATGTATAATGCAGCACTCTTCTCCAAGCCCCCGGCACAGGATTCTTACATATTGTAAGAACATAATGTATCAGAGGTGACCACTGAGCCCCGAGCTACGAAAAATAGAAACAAAGGAGTGGTATGGATTAAAGAGATAAAGGAGAATCTCAGTATTTGTTTAAAAAAGAAAGTTTCCAGCTGTTTTCCTGATGAAGACATCCTTGAAAAACAGAGTTATAAACCAATCAGCTGGGCTCCACTTCTGCAGCAGGAAGACTGGATGGGGCAGGTCCTGAAGATACCTTTCCGTGTACAAGTTTTTGTAACAAAAAAAGTTTATCTTGTGAGAACCAGCAAAAAATTGTTTTGCAGACTTACCGCTAAATGCACCTCTGATTTATTTATTTATTATAGTACCTGAAGCATACAAGGCACCATTTCTCGTCAACCAATCAACGGGGTATACCATACCACACATTATAAAAAAAAAGACATTTTAGATAGAAATCCAAAATTGAGAGTAGAACATCAGTTGGAGATTTAAAAGGTCCATTAAGGTCCCATTCAGTCTCTCTCTAAGGAGTCAATATAGGATTGCTTTCTACAGTGTGGACAAAACAGTGGAGAGGACTCTAGTTTTAAATTGGAAATCATGCTTCAGATTTTAACATTCTTTGCCAAGGTTACTAGTCAGGATATTTGTAAGTTTAGAGCTGTCTGAAAATTTGACAATTTTTTCATTGAAAATGCTTTTTCAACAAGATTCGGCAGGAAGGGTTCTCAGGTAAAGGATGCAATTACTGGGGAAATCGGGGGAGGAAGAGAGAGAGAACACCCCAGATCCAGAATAGCCAACAGCTATTCTGTGGTTAGGGTACTGTGGGAGACTCAAATTCAAGTCCCTGCTCTGCCTGATTGGCAACAAGGACTTGAATCCAGGTGTCTCCCATCACAGGTGAGCACCCTATCCCCAGGATATTGGTTATTTAGGGTTGGTCGGTCCTTTTCTTAACACAGCAACAAAAGGAATAAGGAATTGTTCAAATATCATTACAGGCTTAATTTGATCCCATACAATTCTATATATTTAGACTATTTTAATGGAGGTACTGAAAATTGCATGGTTTAATAATTGCCCTTTTGACATGTTTGCATAGATATTCTTGTTTATCAAATTATTTGTTTAATAATAGGTGTGTATAGCTGTGTTTTGTCATGAGTAAACAGCTAAAATCCTTGGTGAAAAAAAATCTCTCTTACATAGCCACACTTTAAAGCTACATAATAAAATGTCCCTGACTCTGAAGAGCTTAGTCTAAAATAATAATCATGGAATTCTTGATGCAGGGGGTGTTCTGTGACTGCTCTTTATTATTACAGTGGTCTCACTAGTCTTCCTCCCCATTTGTTGTGTCCACTTTTTGTCTCTCATCATATGCTTAGCTTGTAAGCTCTTTTGAACAGGGACCATTATTCTATTACATGTGTGTAGAGTACCTAGCATAATGGAGACATGATCTTTTACTGGAAACTCTAGGCACATTATTCCCAAACTGGCATTAAGATTGAATAACAACAATTCTTTGCAGCCCTCAAAACATTATTCCACATTGGCTTTGTATATTTAATAATACACCGTTCCTTTTAAAAGAGATTTTTAGCTGGTCTATGTACATGCCAAATTTGCAAGTCATTTCCCCAGAGTATTGTGGGCTAATTATGCATCTAGGTGACACTGGTATAAATTGGGGAGTATTAACCCATTCTTCTCAATTGCCAGGATTAAGGTTTTTAAAGTCTATTCTGAGGATTTGACTGATCAATAAAAGCAATGAATATAGTGAAGATTCCAAATTTAAAGCAATAAGGAGATTTGTAAGTCAGTCAGTCTAGGGAGTAGTATTTTATTACATTGACCTTTCCAACTGACTATGATAGGAGAGATCTCAGTTTTACAGTTACTGCAGATTAGTGGTAGTTATGAATTCATGTCATGTATTTATAATTCAGGTAATGTATTTTCTAACCACAATACATATGCTCAAATAACATCACCGTTAGAAGTTTTAGCAGTCGAGAAAGGTAATTCTGTTCTTGCACTGGTAGGGTGAACAGTTTTTTCCTAGTTCACCAAGCATACCTCATTATTTTTAAAATTCCCTTCCAGCCTCAGAGTATGCATGCCCCATTTCAACTGAAAGAGTAGCTGCCCTGAATTTCTAATACCCTAAAAAAAGCCCACCAGCCTCTTCAACCTTAATGTTCCCATAATCCAAGGGAAATCTGCTGATTATATGAAGATATAAACCACAACTGCATTTGTGGCAAGACCTAATTTTAACCATGCAATGTGCTAACCCATTTTACGGCTCCTAGAAAGTAGAACTCTCTTGATGATCAATTTAAGATTTTATACTAGGAACAAGTTTAAGAGACCTCACATGATTCTACATTCCAAGCCACTGGAAACTCCATAAATAGGAATGGTGAGGTAAATAAAAAGCTTAAATGTACGGTTCAGTCACATATTGTTTAAATCAGAAAGGTGTTTGAGTCTTAGAAACCTGCACTAAAGCAAAGAAATACTTTCTTTTAAAAATACACTTCATTTGAATCCTGTTTTTTTTAAACAAAAAAAACCATAGAACTCTAGAGCAACAGTTTGTGACACCATCCAGCTTGAACACTACAACTTACTTTATTCATAACCTTTGAGTTACGCAGCAGCTCTACTCCATGGAGGGTGTGTGTGTGTGAGAAATCTAGACAAGAGTGCCTGCTTGCAAAGTGGTTCTTTTCCAAGGTATGAATTGTAAATCTGCTACAGAGTTTCTTAGATGAAACACACTACCTAAGTTCAAAGTAGAATTAGCTTCGGCCATTACACTTGCCCTTTATACTCCCTCAGATGATTATGATTTTGCAATTTAGTTTTCCTATTTTTAAAAAGTATTTTTCCTCTCTCATTTCAATGTGCAAGGCCAGCACAGAGGATAAACTAATTATATAAAAGCAACAGTGAAATTTTCCATGCAAGAAATGCTATCAAGTGCACTTTGTAAACCAACTGGAAAAAATAAAGATTTTCCTTATAATCTTTCAGTGACAGTAATGGGGGGCATGGATCAGTGTTCATGTCGCACTCCCCGTCAGTATCTGGCCCAAGCTGGGGAAACTAATGATCCAACCAGCGGACCAAATTCGGTGATGAATCCTGGTAACATGCCACCTGAGGCACGTTGCGCATATGCTACGAAAAACTGACTAATATTAAAGTGCTATTTGCAATACGATCAGGAAAAACAATTTCTGGGCAGATGAGTGATTTTCAGATTGATTGTATCCATTTAATAGTGTCTAATTAAAACATAGCCATAATTATGAGGAATAAGTTATGGAATCTGGTGAAAAAAATTTGACCAAAGTTGGAAGTTATAAAGCTATCAGTATTGCTGGGTCTCTCTGATAAAGATTAAATCCAAGTTACGGTAAAATATTCCCAGATTTGACCCTACAAAAATGACTATGCCATCTGAAAATTAAAACCACTCCTCACTTTCAAATGAGCTGCTGAATATTGAAATGGCAGGATGTTTTTAGCTTAAAGCTTGTTTCACAAGACAAGAGGACCAAGCTGTTCACCCATCTGCATTAAGCACTGGCAGCGACTGTAGAACAGCCACAGATCTACCTTATCAGCTGGAAGTGTGCCAGTGTGTCATTTGGCAACAAAAATATTGGATGAACAAGAATGAAGTATACTGCTATAATGGCAGTCGCTCATGGCATTCAAATACTCACAGGAAGTTTGGTGAAGGCAGGATTGGTGACATGTTTCCCAAAGGCATCTTCCTGGAACTGCAGCAGCTGCACCACCAGACCAGCCAATGTTTTATTGGTCGGAGCATCTGCCTGAACGTACTGAAAGACACAAACACATACTTACTGGAGATGGGGGAGAAAGACTGCAATTCCTTTGGCAATTCAAAGACCAATTCCAGCAAGCTTCAGGGCACATTTTTTTTTGCGCTAGCTTTTAGACTCATATAATCTTTAAAATACATAAACAAAACTCAGTTTTAGTTCTCAGGGACTATGCTTTCAATCCCAAATAAACCACACTGCCATAATCCACAAGAGGGGATAAGGTATGTATTTCTGTAATACAGCTCAATACAGCAGCAAAGAGTGGACATTTGTCTATTTGGGGGGTTTCATTATTGGTTAGTTTTTACAGTCATGGATTTTACGTTCTTTAACAGTCATTTAACTGCATGAAGAGCAGCTATGTTAGAATAGTCATAGTCAGCAACATTTACAAAATCTTTTTTTCCTGCTTATTTAATGTATTGCTTTAGACTGATGCACGATAGTCTGTGTAAGATTTAGTCTAAGAGTTGGCAAATATCTGTGGATCGTTATTAATTCACTGGATTCAATATTCTTCAGAAAAGGATTAAATACTTCATTAGAGATAGAACTCAATCTGATTTCTAAGGCTAATTCCAGCCCTCAGATATATACAACTCACGAGGAAAACACTGTCTACTCCTCTTGCAAAAGAATTACCCAGTGAATTCCACATTAATTCTTCCAGTTGCATCTCTTCACTAACCTTTAGTGTGTTCATGCACAATCAGGAAAAATATACCCAGAAGACCAAATTTCTGCAATTTTGCAACAATCTACAATCAGGTAATTATTTATTTCCCCAGGCATAGTACTTCAGTGCGTGACCAGTTCATACATAATCTGAGAGGCTAATGTTAGTTGGTCAGTAAACAGACTAATCATTGAGCCATTTACCTGGTGAATAACTGATATAATACCCAACCAGAATACCTTATTTCTTCCACGGTTTCTGTCTAGCCAGACTCCTATATATACTTCTGGGGAAATTCTGCGCCAAAAAAATTAAAAATTCTGCACACAATATTTTAAAATTCTGTGTATTTTATTTGTAAAAAATAACACAATATAATCACATCAATTTCAATTATTTTTGGTAATTTATTTCAAAAGACCTGTCATCAAGTATGTCTTTAACAATACAGACAGCAAAAAAGATTCAGGAAATGTTTTTTGATAAATAGATTCCTTAGTAGGCAGATTAATCCAGAACTCTGAGTAATAATTCATTTAAACTACAATACAGAACCATATTTCCCAAACCCCACAGAAGCAGTGCAAAGGCTTGGGGGAGTCATGGGTAACGGAGGAGCTATGGGTGAGGGAAGTAAATTGCTGGGAAAGAGCCTGGGTGTGAATTTGGGAGGGTTGTTAGGTATGGGTGGGAAAAGTATGGAACAGGGTTATTTTGGGGGGGGTAGGGGAGAGGAGAGATTGCTAGGGAGCTCCCCCCATGCAGCCCCTGCCCTACCCCTAGCCTCTCCCATTCAGTCAGGCACATCTTCCTGTCCCCATGTGTCTTTGCACCCCGTCAATGTGTCTCTCTCCACCCCCACTCAGACACCCACCCCCCCATCACCATGTGGCCCTGCACCCCCTTATGTCCCTATGTGCCTCCCCGTGTCCCTGTACCCCCACCCAGCCATCCCTTGTAGCTCTGCACCCCTCCCACACCACCATGTGGCCCTGCACCTCCCTCCCCGTGGCCCTGTGCCTCCACTCCCATTCAGCCCCTGCCCCAGTCTGTCCTCTCTCACTAGCCCTTATGAGCCCCTGTCTGACCCCCACCCCCAGCACCCCATGCTCTCCCCATAGCCCCTGTCTCCTAACCTGGCCCACTGTTAAGAAGCCAGGCTCTCTCTCTTCCCTAACTGGTGGGCAGCTGCTGCTTTGTTCTATCGCCACAGCGCCATCAGGTGGGCAAAACATGGAAGTGCAAGAACATTTTGGCAGAAGCTTTTTTCTGCACAAAAAATTAAAAATATGCAGGGCTCATTAAGTATGCACATGCGCAGTAGCGCAGAATTCCCCCAGGAGTGTATATATAGAGTGTATATATAGAGTACCTTGAGAAGTTCATGAAGCCATAATAGTTACATAGCAGTCAGAACTCCAACAAGTATTTCTATTCTTTGTTAAACCATTCTGTTACATACACATCAGGTGCTGGTGGTCTCAATTTAGCCTGTTAAATAACCAAATAAAACCCTTTAAGCCATTTACTAAAGTAGCATACAAGAAGTGAAGGATACTGTAAAGGCTATGGGTTTCTCACCATGAGATTTCAATAACTAAATGCTTAAATTTGTAAGTGACTTAGTACTAGCTGTAGAAGCCAGGCTGACATATCTGGAGAATAAAGTTTTAACGATTCAAAGATTATGAACACCACATGGCAGCACAAGATTCCTCAAGTTGCCTCACCAGTGTGTGTGCCTCAGCCATGACACAGAAAGGGTACATGGTTTCCGAACCTGCTCAATTATTCAATTCTCTGCCAAAAGGGGAGACAGTTGTGGTAATTTTGTAATGTGGATAGCTTCCCACTATAAACTAGAAAGATCACCAAACCATTTCATACAGGCCACCACAGAGCTTTCTCTACTAATTTGGGCTGGATTCTATCAGGTGACCTAAAAGGCGGCTCTCTCTGTTTTACCTAATAAGAGCCATTATGCCTCCTGATAACTACTCTATTTTCTTGAAGTTTTAAGACTTATTTAACCAAGAAGGAAAGCATTTCATAACATTCATACAGTGTTGTAAGTGTATATGGCTGTAAAAGAGAAAAGATGACAAATTGCTGCTCCTACAGTTTAGGGCTTAAAAAACAAAAAACAAACCAAAAAACCCACCTCGATTAGTGTGGCTGAATCTCTTCATTTTACAACTGTTTAGATGAACAAATAGGGTTGTGCTGAATCACCAATAGCCCTGCAATTCCCAGAAAATTGAGCCAACTGTGCACAACAAAAGTCATCACTCTACCTTGTCCGATTTCACATAACATTTTGAACTTTCAGTTTAAGAAGTATCCTTCAACATGTATCAACTAAATTGCATAGGAAAAAGTGTAGTTAAAAATGCGCATTACTAAGTTGCAAAGTTAACATATACAGTAGTTAACAGTGTATGAAACTGACAGCATGGGAAGTCAAGTGTCAGATGTTATAATCTTGTTTCCATTCTATTTTAATAGAAGTTTATGAAGACAAAATCTTTATTCAACAAGAACAGCATGTGCACACATGCCCAAGAAACAAAGCTGGCAGGTCTAATTTTAGGCCTACCAGCCTCAACAGCACCTAAGTGGAGTAGCTTGCCTGTGCTTATCATTACATCTGTTAGAACATATCCTCTCATCCTCAAAAGCAGTACGTAATCTGCGCATGCCAAGAAGAAAAATACTACCATTTCCAAAAAGGCTATTTTGTGCATGATCTTCATCCTCTCTAAAGGAACTTCCTTTATATAAGTGTTCAATAACAGGACCACCTTAGTGACCATGAAAACCCATTTCACAAGGCGGATCCATTCTGCCATCTCTGACTCTTGCTTTGTTGCAGTTTGACCGCACGTGAAATCTGTTTTTTACTGTTAATTTTCCCTGAAATATGCAATTTAAAATGGTTCGAATACTTTTTTTAAACTTTATATAGTGCATTAAGTTCAAAGCACCATAAGAAGTGAGCCAACCCTTAAAATTTCTAAAAAGTAGGTAAGTATGAAGTGTTCCTTGTACAGATAGACATTCTCTTCCGTGCTTCAGTTTTTCTGTGTCTAAGGCCATGTTAAGAGTCAGTAACCAAACTAGGATTAGAACTCTCAACATCTCGACTCCCCAATCCATGCTCATTTCTTCAGATCATATTGCTTACCAGCACCCAAAACAAGTTGAATTTTTTTTTGTTTCTGAAGCTTTCTTCAGCCTACTGTAACAAAATTAAAAACTTAAAAGAGCACAAAAATGTAACCTCACTCCAGAATACCAATATTTAGAAAAAATAAAATATTCTTAACCTGGATTATTATATATTATTAGCTGCTACTTTAGTTAGAATTCCAGTGTGTGTCTCCCCACTCCACCTGTCAGGAAAATGCACCTGGGGGTTTGGATATATTTTGAAGAGTACACTTTTTTCACTCTTATTTCTTAATGGAGACTTGTGAATCCCACTCCCACCTCACACAGAGTTAAGTTAAACTTGAGGGCTGTCAAGTTGTTGGAAGAGGAAATAATCAGAAATAGAATACAGGAGCCCTGATGCTGTCTCAGATTTGCTGTGTTACCTTGAACATGGACATGTCATTTAACCTCTGTGCCTCAATTTCCACCTCTACAATAAGAGGATAGAACACTTCGCTACATCAAAGGAAAAACTTGGAGGGTCCTCTCATTCACTATTTGGAAGTTTGAAAGTTGTACAAGAGGGCCTTGCTATGGCTTTTGCCAGCAATATTAATCCAACCAGATTCTTATTTGCCAGCTGATTCATAGCTGATTTTTTGGGGGGAAGGAGATAGCAGTGAAGCTTACAAGAATCATTCATTTTCATATTACTTTCGCCCATAACAAGCAGAGGCAGCGTATGAGTCTGCAGAGAAGGAAACACAATAAAAAGTTTTAGAGTAAGCTGCCCCAGGGCAAGGACTATGCCTTCTTTTGTGTTTGTAGACTCACCTGGCAGACCGTTGGCACTACAGGAAACAATGTAAGACACATGCAGAAACAACACTAAAATGTCAGATTTGGATACAAAAGCAAGGAAACCCAACTTTAAGGCCATCACACAAAAGACCACCACTTTCCTGACAATTAACCATATCTAGACTCAATGATTTGAGCTAAAAGCAGAACAGTAACAATACTAGATTTGCGTCTTTAGCTCCTTTAAAAAAAAAAATCTATTTTCAGATTAGTTCAAAGGAAACTAGCAGAGAAACACTTGCTAATTTAATGTTCCAATGGCACTGATAAGAGACTATGGAACAAGTTTGGAGATGACGACAAG